CCCATGTGCAGTCAGTCCTGCAGTCTCCTTATACCCACCCACTGAATCCTGTAGACCAGACAGGTGCAGCACAAGTGAGGAAGTGGGAAGGGGCAGTGGCTTCACCCTGGCACAGCCAGCCAGGGTCACCAGGGTGATGATCAACAGTGACCAGGAAGAGAGCAAAAAACTTCAGCATCTGTGTATGAGGACCAGGGGTCCTCACCTACCTCGTCTTGTTTCAGGAACCCACTCCTTTATTCATGGAACAAATGTATATATTTTGAGAGAGAGATAGTACAAACAGGGGAGGGGCAGAGAGAGAGAGAGAGAGAGAGAGAGAGAGAGAGAGAGAAGCCCAAGCAGGCTCCACACTGTCAGCACAGAGCCTGACTCGGGGCTCACACCCACGAGGCCTCGAGATCGTGACCTGAGCCGAAACCAAGAGTCGGGCGCGTAACCGATTGAGCCACCCCGGCGCCCCTCGTTCAACAAATATCAATCAAACACGTATAATCACGCTTACTGGCATCAATGTAAGAAATCACTCTAGGAAAAGAGGACTTACGAAGCACTGGGATGACAGCATGCCGAAAGTTCTACAAAGACACAGACTACCAGGAAATTGCTGCTCGGTTCTAGTTCACCTGGAATTTCAGGGTCTGGACATTCAGAATGAGGAGCTAGTCTTTTGTTATCAGCGACCTAACATAATAACGGAACTCACGGGATGTTCAAAGTAAAGTAAATTTGTGTCTACACCAGGAGAAAGAAGCACAGTTCTCATGTTTTTCAGAAGTTACACGCTTTGGAGGAGCGGTGTGGCTATCCTCAGCACAGATTTAAACATTTCAAGATAAAGCTGTCCGGACGCTTTCCTAAAACGAGTAGGCAGCCCTGCAGGCATATATTTGCAATATGGTCAATATAATGGGTGTCAATTTTGCCGAATGAGCCACCTGTAATTGAAATTATGTTGTTAACTTGGAAAAGAAAAGGAAAAAAAAAATTGCTCTGAAATCGGAAATCAACGTTTGGTATACTTTTAATATGTATTGCAGAATATTCTATCTGAAGGATATTTTTTAGATTTTATACATATTAGACATCCTCATGGTATTAAAACCCTGTCTGTAGAAAGAGGAAAAGAAACAAAACCCCAAATAATTTCTGTTTACAAGAGAGAAACTAAGTATAAGCAAATAGTTTGAAGGAAAAGAGAACTCACACGGTAATTAAAAGAAAGCTGCTATGACTGTATTAATGCTGAGCATCGCAGACTTTCAGTCAAGGAGTATTGTTGGAGGAAAAGACACATTTAATGATGACAAAAGAGGGCGCCTGGCTGGCTCCGTAGGAAGGAGCACATGATTCTTGATCTTGGGGGTCGTGAGTTAGAGCCCCACCTTGGGTGTAGAGATTATAAGTAAATAAACAAACAAACAAATAAACTCTTTTAAAAAGGTTTAAAAAGTCAATTCAATAGAAAGATGTATAAATCTGGGCACTTGGGTGACTCAAGTCTGTTGAGCGTCAGACTCTTGATTTCAGCTCATATCATGATCCCAGGGTCAAGGGATCAATCCCTGCTTAAGATTCTCTCTCGCTCTCGCTCTCGCTCTCGCTTCCTCTGCCCCCCTCCACCTCTCCCGTGCTCGTGCTCTCTCTAAAATAAAAAATAAAAATAAAAAAAAAAGGACTTAAGAAAGGTATACAGATCTTCTATTTGTGTGCACCGAATAACATAGCTTCAAGATATATGCAGCAATACTAAACAGGATTAAAACGAAAAATAAACTGGCAATCACAGTTAGAGATTTTAGTGTACCTTTCACAGTGACTCGTAGAACAAGCAAACAGAAAAACTCAGCCGAATGGAGACTTGACCAATCTGGTTAACCAGCTCCAGGCAACAACCACACAATATACCCATTCTTTTCACATGTACGTGGCACATTTACGTAATAAACCACGTTCTGAGTTGCAAAACAATTCGCAATAAATTTCAGAAAAGGAGCATCTGGCAGCGCAGTCGATTGAGTGTCAGACTCGTGATTTCGTCTAGGTCCTGATCCCCACAGAGTCCTGGGATCCACGCCGCCTCTACAGGGAAGCCCGCCTGGATTCTCTCTCTCTCCCTCTGCCCCTCCCACGCTTGTGCGTGCTCTCTCTCTCAAAATAAATAAACTTTAAAAAATTTTTCAGGGTGGCTCGGTTGGTTGGGCGTCTGACTTCGCCTCAGATCATGATCTCCCGGTCCATGAGTTCGAGCCCCGCGTCGGGCTCTGTGCTGACAGCTCAGAGCCTGGAGCCTGTTTCGGATTCTGTGTCTCCCTCTCTCTCTGATCCTCCCCCATTCATGCTCTGTCTCTGCCTGTCTCAAAAATAAATAAACGTTAAAAAAAATTTTTTTTTTTAAATAAAGAAAATAATAAAATTTTCAAAAACCCAAATGTACACCTATGTATTCTGGAGTCAAACTAGAAACTAAAACATAAAGAAATCCCTATATGTTTGGAAATTTTCAATTAATTTTTTAAAGTTTGTGTATTTATTTTGAGAGAGAGAGAGAGAGAGCGCGCACTTGGGAGAAGGAGAGGGGCAGAGAGAGGGAGAGGGAGAATCCCAAGCAGGCTCCTCGCTAACAGCATGGAGCCTGATGGGGGGTGGGGCTCTATCCCACCAACCATGAGATGATGACCCGAGCCAAAATGAAGCGTTGGATGCTCAACTGACTGAGCCACCCAGGAGATCCTAAATTAATTTCTGAACAACTCATGATAAAAGGAATTCACAGTGGAAAGTGGAAAATAATTTAAGTTGAAAATCAGTGAAAATCTGTTGTATGAAAATGTGTGGGATGCAGTGTAAGTGGTGCTGAGAGGAAATTTTATAGTTTTAATGGCATCTTTCAAAACTGAACAAACGTTGGAGCACCTGGGTGGCCCAGTCGGTTAAGTGTCCAAGTCTTGATTTTGGCTCAGTCGGGCTCTGTGCTTAGTGTGGAGCCTGCTTAAGAGTCTCTCTCTCTCTCCCTCTGCCCCTCTCCCCCACTTGTGCTGTCTCTTCTCTCTCTCTTTCAAAAAGAAAAAAAAAAAGAACAAAGGTTGATAATCAGTAATCTAAGTTCCATTTCAAAAAGCTGGAATAAAATAGAAATCAAACCTAAGGAAAGCAGGTAAGATAAAGCTAAGAGTAGAAATCAGTGTAAACACAAAACCAGAAGATCAACAAAGCCAAAACCTGGCTTTTTGAAAAGATTGATAAAATTGATAAACCTCATCAGACTGATCAGGAAAAAAAAAAAAAAAAAGAGGGAAAATACAAACTGCCAATAATAGGAATGAAAAAAGAAAAGGACATTATTTCATATTCTCGTGTATTAAAAATACTATAAGAAGATATTAGGTACAACTACATGCTAATTTGACAATTTAAACTGGGAAAATGCCTTAAAAAGCACAACTTTCCAGAACTGAGACCAAGCAAAAACAGAAAATCTGAATAAACTTTACCTGCCAAAGAGACCGAACGCATCATGTGAGATCTTCCTACGAGAAATTGCAGACGATCTCACAAATGGGCCTCGCCAAGCAAACTTTGAAGGGGGACATCACGCCCAATATTTTACACAAACTCAGAGAGTAATGGAAAAAGCACTTCCCCACACATCTTTTGGAGGCCACATCTGACCAGGACATTTTTTTTTTTTATTAAAGCATAATTAACATACAGTGTCATATTAGATTCAAGCGTACCATATAATAATTCAAGAGTTCTATACATTACTCAGTGCTCATCATGAAAAGTGTAGTCACAACCTGTCACCAAACAATGCTACCGACTGTATTTCTTAAGCTGTGCTTTTCATCTCCGGAACTTGTTGATTTCACAACTGGAGGTTTTTACCCCTTAATCCTCTTTATCTGTTTCTTTCACCCATCCACTCACCCACCGACCTCTCCTCTGACCACCAGTGGTTTGTTCTCTGTATTTAAGAATCTGGTTTTGTTTGTTTGTTTGTTTGTGTCTTTTTTCTTTGTTCATTTGTTCTGTTTCTTAAATGCCACATATGAGTGAAATCACATGGTATTTGTTTTTCTATCTCTGACTTATTTCACTTAGCATAATACCTCTAGGTCCATCCATGTTGTTGTAGATCAGACCAGGATATTTTATTTTATTTTATTTTATTTTATTTTGAGAGAATGCATGCACACGGCAGGGGAGGGGTAGCCAGAGAGGGAGAGAGAGAATCCCAAGCAGGCTGCACACTCAGCACAGAGCCCGACTCAGGGCTCGATCTCACAAACTGTGAGATAATGATCTGAGCTGAAAACAAGAGTTGGAGGCTCAACCAACCGAGCCACCCAGGCGCCCCACGACCAGGACATTTTATAAGGAAAATTATAGGGCAATATTTCTTATGAACACACATACAAAAATCCTGAGAATCCAATTATTTATTAAAAGGATCATGACCAAGAGGTCATTTTTCCCAGGTAAAATGCAGGTTGATTTAAGATAAGCAAATCAAACAATGTAGTTCACCAAATTAGCAGAATAATAGAGGAAAACTATAGGTTCACCTTAATAGATAAGAAAAAGCATTTGATAAAACTTAAATGGATATATGATACAGACTCAACAAAAACTAAGAAAAAAATCCCAAAGTTAACATTATACTTAAAAAAAATTTTTTTTAATGTTTATTTATTTTTGAGAAAGAGACAGAGTGTGGGTGGGGGAGGCGCAGAGAGAGAGGGAGACACAGAATCCGAAGCAGGCTCCGGGCTCCGAGCTGTCAGCACAGAGCCCGACTCAGGGCTCAAACTCACAAACCGTGAGACCATGACCTGAGTCGAAGCCAGACACTCAACCTACTGTGCTGCCCAGGCGTCCCCGTAACCCCGGTCCTCAGAGTCTCCCTTCACATAGCCCCAGACTCTAGCTTGAAATCACTTGTGTCCCCTAAAGGAAGAGCAGGGAGGAAGGCAGAGGCCTGCTTCCGGGCCCCCTCCTCACAAAATGTAGTCTATGCTGGAGGATCGGAGGGGGTTCTGGCAAGAGGAGGAGGACCTGTCCCAGCCCTCCCTGGGGATTTGTCTTCCTGCGTAGAGGAGGATGTGGCCGCAGCTCTTCTGGAATATTTCTGAGAGGTGTTTCTTGAACTTCTCGCCCATGAATGCGTAGATCACAGGGTTCACGCAGCAGTGAGTGAAGGAGATGGTTTCTGTGACATGGGTGGCATAAATGAGCCGCTGGCTCAGGACGCATCCGTCCAAGATCTTCATGTTGAACAGGGACGTGAGGAAGAGGACCACATTGAACGGGACCCAGAAGAGCAAAGAAGCGACCACGACAATGAGCACCAGCTTGATGGCCTTGGTCTTGCTGTGGTTCTGGCAACTCTTCAGTTGGTGCAGGATGCTCACGTAGCAGAAGATAAGGATGGTGAATGGGACCAGCAGACCTAAGATGTTAATCTCAAAGTAGATGAAGATCTTCCACTTCAGAGTCTGCTGACCGTAAGACGAGTAGCACTGTAGAACGCCGTCTTCGGAGGCCACTTGGTACAATCCCAGTAGCGGGCTGGTGACCACGATGGCGATCAGCCACATGACCAGACTCAGGGCTGTGCCCATTCTGGCCGTCCTCACCGTCATGGCATGCACAGCGTGGACAACTGCCAGGTACCTGTCCACACTCATGAGGGTGATGAAGAACATGCTGCTGAAGAAGCCGATGTAATAAAAACCGGAGACCAGCTTGCACATTGCGGTCCCAAACACCCACTGGTCCAGCTGATAGTGGGTCTGGAAGGGGAAGGAGAAGACAAAAAGCAGGTCCGACAGGGCCAGGTTCAAGAGGTATATGTCTGTGATGCTCCTCAGCCTCTTGCAGGCGACGAGGACCAGGATGACCAGGCTGTTCCCCAGAAGACTGAATACAAACAAGACACAATAGAGGATGGCAAGTAACAACTTGTTATCTCTTTGGATAAGTTCCCCGTCGCAGGGGCTCGACGAGATATCAGGATAGTAGTCGTCAGTTACTGTTGTCACGTTGGGCTCCAGGGTGTAATCCATCGAGGCGGGAGGACCAGGTCAAAGAGGCACCTAAGAGAGATTCGTTCCTTAAAAATATTTTTATTTAAAAAATGTAGTCTGAATTGTAACCATCCCTACCCCTGCCCCATTCATATGTTGAAGCCCCGAAGTCCTGTAATGGACTGAACATTTGTGTCCTCCCCAAATGCATATGTTGAAGCCCTACCCCACCTCGTGATGGTATTAAGCAGTGGGTTCTTTGGGAAGTAACTGGATTAAATGAGGTCGTGAGGGTAGAGCCCTGGTGAATGGCATGAATGCCCTTCTAAGAATCACGAGCCCGCTTGCTTCTCTCTGCTCTCAGCCATGAGATACAAGGAGGAGTTGGCTGTCCGCAGCCTGGAAGAGGGTTCTCACCTGAGTTTGCATTTCCCAGCTTCTAGAATGGTGAGAAACAAATTCCTGTTGTTTATAAACCACCCCTCTATGGTTTTCTGTTATAATAGCCCCGAACTGGCCAAGACACCACCAATGTCATCTTTGGAGATGAGCCATTAAGGCGATAATTACAGTTCAGCGATATCATAAAGGTGGGGCCCTAATCCATAGGCCTGGTGTCCTTATACGAAGAAGAGGCACCCAGGCACTCAAGCCATCTCTCTCTTTCTCTCTCTTCGTGCACGGGGAAAAGACCGTGTGAGGGCACAGCAAGAAGCTGGCTGGTTGCGAGCCAGGAAGAGAGGTCTCCCGGCAACCAACCCTGATCTTGGACCTCTCGCCTCCGGGACCATGACGAGAGTAATTTCTGTTGTTTAAGCTTTGGAAGTGCGTGGAAGGCAGGCGTCCTGAGGCACATGCTAGAAAAAACCAAGGCTGCCTTGAGCGGACTGTTGGTGGAAATTCGGATAGTAAAGGTGATCATGCCGAGGGCTCAGCAGGAAGGGAGGAGGCTGGAGAGAGAGCTTCCCTCACCTCAGAGAACACATGTATCATCGTGAACAGAATATGGGTAGAAGTTGGCTCTTGTGGATGGTAGAACTTGCGAACAATAAGACTGGATGTTTGGCTGGGGGCAGCCTGGACTCTCTGTGCAGCTTCCAGTAAAATGGTAGGGGAGAGAGGTGAGCTGAAGGAGTTGTTAAAGAGGAATGAGAGTACATTTTATCCTTCAAGGAAAGGGAGGGACGTCCCTGAAGATGGAGAAGTCATCAGGCCACCTGCCCCGATGGAGGGCCAGGGCTGTTTGGAGGCCAACCCCGCCCAGTGCCATGGCGGGGTGGGGGTGGGGGTGGGGGGGGTGAGGCCACAGCCTGGGGCCCTGACATGACGCTGCCACCTGGTGGGCAGGGAGGGCAGAGCGCCCAAAGGAGATTATTCTTGAGCCTTACAACTTTTGGGCTTGCCTGGGACCCACCATCTCGCTCTTCTTTCTGATTTGTTCCCTGCGGAATGGGACCGTCTGTCCTAGGCCTGTCCCACCGCTGCCTTTTAGAAGCGCATAACTTGTCTGGTTTCATAGGTTCACAGCGGGACAGGAATTTTGTCTCAGGATGAATCACACCCCACGTCTCTCCCATACCTGATCTGGATGATATCCAGGTAAGACTTTGGATCTAGAAATGAGGCTGGAATGGGGTAAGGCTTTGGGAGCTGTTGGAGTGGAGTGGCTGTATTCTGTGCGTGAGAAGGACATGAATTTTGGGAAGCCAGAGGGCAGGATGTTAAGGGCTGAATTGTATCCCTGTATGTTGAAGCCCTAATTCCCTCTGTGATGATATTTGGAGACAGGGCTTCAGGAGGTAAGTAAGGTTAAATGATGTTGTAAGGGCCGGGTCCTGATCTGTTTGCACTGGTGACCTTATAAGAAGAGGAAGAAAGACCTCTCTCTTCCTCAGTTCATGCCCAGGGAAAAGGTCATGCATGAGGACACACAGAAGGTTGGCTGTTTGCAAGCCAGGAAGGGGCTTTTACCAGGAACTCAATATGTCAGCACCTTGACCTTAGACTTCGGTCCTCCAGAACAGTGAGGAAATAAATTTCTGCCATTCGAGCCACCCCAGACTGTGCTATATTGTTACGGCAGGCCAAAACGACTTGGGAGCTGTCAATATTTTCTGTCCAAATTTTCTGTAAACCTAAAGCTTCTCTAAAAAATAAGGTCTATTAACATGTTTTAAAAATTGAAAACTGCCTCAGCTGACCAATACGGGGGTGGGGATTAGCTGGGCTCAGAAATGCCAAATTTTATGAAGAAAATTTAAGGACCTATCGTGCCGCCACCCAGAATGAGCAATTGCTAACATATTGCCAGGTTTCCTTTTGGTTCTTTTTTTTTTCTTTCTCTTTCCTTCCTTCTTTCCTTCCTTCCTTCCTTCCTTCTTTCCTTCCTTCCTTCCTTCCTTCCTTCCTTCCTTCCTTCCTTCCTTCTTTCCTTCTTTCTTTCCTTCCTTCCTTCCTTCCTTCCTTCCTTCCTCCCTTCCTTCCAGGCTGCCTGCCTAATGCAACAGAGATGAAACTAAAGCTCCCTTTAACTGCACGAGTCCCCACACCCTGGGGGCAATTCCTGAAACCAGTATGTTATGGTTCATTCTGAATAGTTTCCCCCTGTGCTTTTACAGATTTAAATGCACCCATAAATAATATATAATATTGTTTTGTGCTCCCTGTTGACTTACACAAATGGTGTCCTGTCTCTCATTACCTATCTTGCTTTTCTTCTCCCAGCTCTGTTGTTCCAGAAAGGTAGGCACGCTACTCTAAAAAGTTCAGTTCCTTCTGTTTACTGCTTTTATAAGCACCATACGTAACTATTTTAAAAGTTCAACAGAAAAAGATCATTGAAACCATACCGGCCACAGAAATTACTAAGATTTCTAACAATAAATGTGATAAAAACTGCAATTCAGTTATGTAAAATATTGTAAAATTTTGTTGAAGGGTAACAAAGAAGACATGATTAAAAGGGAAACGTATGCTCTGTTTATGCGAGGGAAGACCCAACAATGAAAACATGATAATTCTCAGCCTGATAGGTACATTCAAGGAACTCTCAATTTAGACATCATCTTTCCAAGGTGTTTGGCTGCGGAACATTCAGACCCCCCTGTCCACTAGGCCACCTTTCTGTAATTTGAAATGCTAACCAAGGTAGCCATTTTTAAAGATATTAATTTCATTTAAGTATATACCCCCAAATAAATTTAAAAAATACTTTCTGAAGTATGAGGGTGGGCCTTTTTTGTTGTGGCTAGTATCTCTCAAAGTAACAGTCTCTCCTCCTACATCTTCCTTCCTACTTGTCTTGCAGTTACTTAAAAAAAAAATTATTTTTTCAGTTTGCCATCCTTCTGTTCTGCTCTCTGAATATCCTAGAGTAAGAGGGGGCCTCAACTCATTCCTTCTCCAGGTCCTTCCTGCTGACCCCCCAATCCACACTTCCCCCACGCTCTCTCTTTGGTAAAATCCAAGCGAAGTTTTAAGAATGTCCACCATTTATCACAGGGGGCCAGGCGTTTCAGACGCATGACTTCATTTATTTCTCTTGAATCCCTGTGAAACAGGCACTCAGGCCTCCTTTCTGTTTCTGGAGTTCGGGTTGTACCTGAATCTCGGAGAGCGTCAGTCCATTGACTAACGTCACAGAGAGGAAGACCATAGAGCCAGGCCTCAAAAATGCATCTCCTCCAAACCCTTCATCTCTTCCATGTCTATTTTGTGGGGAGAGTAAAAACACTCCAGTCTTTTAGAGTTCAGGCCACCTGACTTCCAAGTTCTAGACTATTTTGTACCCGAGTGATGGCTGTCTGACAGAAGCCTTGTAGCCAGCAAAATTACAGCCTCCTCCCAGATGCCTGGTGGTAAGAGGTATTTTCTTATCTACCTTCCCACTCTTTTGACTCCCTCCTACTGTCCTGCAGAGAAAATGGCACGGCTTGCTTCCCTCAGTCAGAGCCAGGGCCAGCCGCTAAGACATCTGTAGGGGCGCCTGGGTGGCGCAGTCGGTTAAGCGTCCGACTTCAGCCAGGTCACGATCTCGCGGTCCGTGGGTTCGAGCCCCACGTCGGGCTCTGGGCTGATGGCTCAGAGCCTGGAGCCTGTTTCCGATTCTGTGTCTCCCTCTCTCTCTGCCCCTCCCCCGTTCATGTTCTGTCTCTCTCTGTCCCAAAAATAAATAAACGTTGAAAAAAAAAATTTAAAAAAAAAAAAAAAGACATCTGCAGGTTTGCGGACTCAGGACATGCAACGATGAAAAAATGACTCACCTCTCGTGCCCAACTTCTGAAAGCTTGGCCCTCCCTTTCCTTTTCTCCTGAGGACATAAAACAGTCCTTGCCTAATATCCTTCTTCCCCGGGGATGTTTATTAATACATACCTTAATTTGAGCCTTTGTTCTGGAGACTTCAGTGCTGCTATTTCCTTCTTTGCAGAACCTGCCTCGTATGTGTGCAGCTCAGTGAACAAGAGCTCCCCTGGAGGAAGGTGTCTTATCTATCTGTGGTGAGTGGCAGAATAGGGGTGGACCTACCATCCCAACAGTGACTTAAAAAGATCTCACCCGAGGACACATAAGAGCTGACAGATTAGCATATGAAAATATGCTCAACACCTTATGTCATTAGGGAATGGGAAATTAGAACAGCAGTGAGGTAGCCCTCCGTAATTATTAGAATGGCTAAAATCCCAAACACTGACAACACCAAATGCTAGAGAAGATGCAGAGGAATTCTCATTCATTGCTGGGGGGAATGCAAAATGGTCCTGCCACGTGGGAAGATGGTTCGGCAACTTTTTAGAAGGTTGGCAATTTGTCATGAAGCTAGAATAGGTTTATCATATCATCCAGTAATCGTGTTCCTGGGTATTTACCCACATGAGCTGAAAACATATCCTCCCCCCCCAAAACCTGAGCATATGAATTTATAGCAGCTTTATTTCATAACTGCCAAAAGTTGGAAGCCACCAAGATGTCCTTCAATCGAGGAATGGATAAAAGCTGTGGTAATGTGCACGATGGAATATTATTCCGTGATTAAAAAAA